CTTGGAAAAACCCAGATACTGTTGAACCAAATACCTGTGCACCCCCTGGGCCAGTCAGGTTAATGCATAAAATTAGTCATCACACTTATTAAATAAAAAAATTCTAGGGGAGCATTATCACCTTTCAGATAAGATAGTCTCTGTTAGGTGTGAATTAATTTGAATACTGTACCTGTGTAGGATTTTGGTCTCCCTTGTCTTACTTTTCCAACATGTAGGGTTAGCAGACAAATAAGAATGTCCAATAGCTTTTCCCCCTTATAATGGTATCATTTTAATTAATATTTATTTTAGTAATATTATTGCTGGGCATAATGGAATGCATAAACTTTCTCATGAAATAGTAAAGTTCATGGACAATAGCAAAGATTAGCATATACTGAATTTGAACATGATGACATGTAAAAAAAAAGAAAGCCAAGATATATAAAAAGTTCTGCTTAGAGAAGATATTTGAGTGTTTTATGAGACAGTTTATCTGTAATCCATACAGATATGCCTAATATAGTGGCCAAGAGTATTGTTCTCTTATTACAACAATTTCAAGAACAATGACTATTTGAAAGGTAAGCAGTCGGCAGCTCTTAAAGGCTACCAACCATACTTACGATGTGCATATTTGACATTTACATGAAAATAAATACTTCATTCTCTTTGATGCAATTTTGAAATTATTAATAGAATTGATGCAACTAAATTAACAACAAAAATGTAAACAAGGCCCATATTTTGAATATAAGCAAAAATATATGAAACATTACACTTTAAAAATTCTGTAGATTCCTTTTTCTGTAGCAGCTGTTGTAGTATCATCTTTATTAGCATTAAGTAATAGCCAAATTTCATTAGTTGAGTTTAACATTTTGAATTATCCATTTATGAAACAGTATAGTAGCTGATGGTGACAAGATTTTTTTGTTTTTGTTTTTTTTTTACTGTAGTAAATTGTTTAGGTTTTTTTCCACTGGTTTTATAGAAAAGACTTCTGCTCTCTCACACAAACCTTTCACAACAGTGGTTCTTTTTTCTATGCTTATACTTTGTGAAGATTGCCCCTCTCTGACAATTCTAAATCTATATATGAAGACCTCATGAAAAGTCATTCTGTGAGTTTTAGCTAATATAGTTTAAATTTTAAAAAGTTTTAAAGTTATTTCATTTCCCCCCTTTTTAATTAAAACAACAAAATATTTTAATTAACACTGAGTTAATTACTTGATCTTTATTAAATCTCAGCTTCTTCATTTGTAAAATGGCAGTAAAAACCTTTAAAAGATTCCTATAATGGCCTTGAAAATAAGATGATAGTTATTAATGAATTTTTGAAAATTATTTAAATGCCATATATTTATTAAGGTAATATTAAGGTATTATTAAGGTAAAATTAGCATACTGGAAGAAATCTCTACAGCTTACTCTGAATTAAAGATGGGGTCACGACTGTGAGACTGATAATATAGTTCAGGCAGAATGAACAGAAGTTTGGTGAAAAATCGGGGACTATGTACCACTGAAACCTCATAAATAATGTTTTACTTTTAAAAAATATGCTCAATATAATTTATTTCCTCAAGTAATTTGATGATCTTAAAAAATTTATGTTTATAAGAAAACAACATTATTTTTTAAACTTATTTTGACATGCAGCTACAAGATATTCAGTACCTGACAGAAAACATCTGGGCATCCCAGTCAGTACTCAGTGCCTGGGACAATCTCAATGATCTGGTCATGGTCAGGTGGGATAAGTCCTTGGAGTGGTCCCCCTGGAACTGCATTCTTCTTACCAAAGATGAAGGGGCTGCTCATCTCAAGCTAACGAGTATTGAAGAGGTAAGAAAGTTGAACTTTCTTTAGAAAGTTCTTTTAATCATTGGCGTTATTAGAGATAACTTGGCTGCCATAATACATACTTCCATCAGATGAAGATATAGAACTGATATATTAACAGTAACAAAATATGTAGATGGTATATATAGCAGAGATTAAAATTAAAAGGCAGCTAAAGTAAGCATGTAAAAGGTCAATATAAGAGGTTTGAACATATTACAAGTCCTAAATATGCTACCAGTCCCTCCTAATAGCAAGTTCAATCATATTCCACAGTAAATTCCATGAAGGCAGAAATTTTGTTTACCTTATTTGCATCTATGTCTCTAATGCCTCCAATAGTGTCTATCACAGATTAGGGGCTTAATATAATAAGTATTTGTTGAAAGAATAAATGAATATTACCACCACGTATTACAGCACCCAGAATCTGTCCTCCTTTGATTAATCATCACAAGTCTGCCTAAAAGCACACTCAATTATCAAATAAATTTTGTTCATAATTTGTGCACTCAATAGCAATCATACTGATGGAGTATAGTTCTGAGGCTCCATTTTTCATTTGCTTCCAACTAACCAAGAGTGGAGAAAGCACTGCAAAAATTAAATGTCATTTACTGTAATTTCGGTAACTTACAAGATGCAATCTGTAAAACATTTTGATGAACAGAATTGGGGGCCCCCTGAGGAGTTTCTAGAGAGCTCCGTTTACACTGAGCCCAGGATCCCAAGAACTGATACTGATTCTCTGCTGTCTGCTGCACCTTTAATTTCACGCAAGATGTCTGCTAAAGGAAAATAAAGAAATGACATCAAGTATCATAGTCATTTTGAATAGTGCTATTCCCTGTTTCCTTTTTTCGGGGTGGGGAGGGAGATGATGTAAAGAGAAGAGATTAAATTTTTAGTTTTTTAAGTAATTTTTCAGTTTTAAGAAGCCAGACTAAGAA